CAGTTTGTTAAAGGGAATCATTGATAAATCATTTAGAATGTGTTTCATGTCTGGTGTCACTATCCTTGCAGTCTGTGTCTGTTTTTTTAATAGATTTTCACATGTTTTGCAGTATTAACTAAAACAAATCATAGCAACTGAATTTAACTTTTTGCAGTTCACTCCATTTATATTCTTTTTATTATCTGCATTGACTTTAGAATTGTAGCAAGACTGGAGTACTAAATCAACATTTAAAAAGAGAGAAACGAAGCACAAAACGTTAAAACGAAGAACAGACGTAATGCTCTTTTGATCTGAGTCGGGCAGTATAAAACCAAAATATTAAGCATCAAAAGTATGAAAGGTTAAATAATAACCTTTATGTTAAAAAACTTGCTTAGATTCATGCTCCAGGAATAGATCACTTTCCTTTCAACGAAGCGTTTCCAAAACTTCATTCAATTATGTAGACGAATGGTGCTCTGTATAAACCTTCTGGCTGCAATTAACTACTGAGACACCCACATTCTGTAACACAAACAAACCAAACCAATCACGAATCATAATATTAAAAAAAAAAAACCCTTAGTTTGGCCCTTTTATTTAATAAATACTTTCCCGAAAGGACAGTCAGTGAATCAACATGAATATCAACCGAGATGTCATTTAAAAGCCATTAGTTCGGAATCGAACCCCACTCTAGTGTTATTCTGACTTACTATGACTACACATTAGGCGAAGTAAAAAAAATAACATATTCCCGTCCCCGTCCGCTTCCTTTTTGGAGGCCGCCTGGATTTTTTTATTTTTGAAAAATGCAGTAAAAAAAACAAAGAAAAAGTCCACAAATTCGGCGGTTAAAGCAAATGCATCTAAAACTGTTCATTGTAGACCAATACAACTGTAAATGGCAATGTAAATATGTTCAGTTCTCTTGTCCAACTTGTTTTTCATGTTTAAAGTGTCTTTGAACGGTGGAAACACCAACGGTTGCAGGAAATTTTTAAAATGGCGGCCATCTTGAAAAAAATAAAAAACAATAAATAAAAAGCCCCTCTTCCTCCTTTTTTTCAAAAACCCGGACGAGAAACATGTTTTTTTTTTATTCGCCCTTACCGTCTACACTTCAGTACGCCAATAACACAAACAAACCAAACCAATCACGAATCAGGCATAATGCAGGGAGACCAAGTGCGCCCTCAGTTGTTCGTCCAAAAGTTTGGCAAGGTGATTTGCATAGTGTGACCTTTGTGCTTCCCGCGCAAAGGCAACTTGTAACAGGTTTTCTTCTGTGGGACTTGAACAGGGAAGACCACCACACATTTGGGGCATATATTATCTCTATTTTGTAGGGAGCATGGCTCCGGCCATGCTCCAAATTCTTATCATTTTGGAAGGTTAGTATTATAGATTCGTCCCTGTGAGTACTTTAGTGTATAATGTGATCTTTTTGTGAGAATAGTGTGTTCATTTTGAGGCCGGATGATTCACGTCTGTAATTTGTAACATATGTAGCCAGCCATGTGTTGACATTTGACCTTTATCGCTGTTCTAGTTTATTGTGCCTTACATTTATCATGGATTATTGCTTTGTGTAAAGAATATTATCATCTTGACTCTTGTGTGGAAATAATGTAAATACAAGTTCGGTAAGCTCATCTCATTGTCGTCGTCATGACATAGGTTCATAGTTTTACTGGCATATATTTTTAGTGGAACACTCGTCCTCTTTAAATAGAGGGCCGGCCTCCTTTTGCCGTCCCGCTACAATAATATTTAAAAAAAAAACAACCTTAGTTTGGCCCTTTTATTTAATAAATACTTTCCCGAAAGGACAGTCGGTGAATCAACATGAATATCAACCGAGATGTCATTAAAAAGCCATTACTTCGGCATCGCACCCCACTCTAGTGTTATTCTGACTGACTATGACTACACATTAGGCGAAGTAAAAAAAATAACATATTCCCGTCCCTGTCCGCTTCCTTTTTGGAGGCCGCCTGGAATGTTTTATTTTTGAAAAATGCAGTAAAAAAACAACAACGAAAAAGTCCACAAATTCGGCGGTTAAAGCAAACGCATCTAAAACTGCTCATTGTAGACCAATACAACTCAGTCAGTGAATCAACATTAATATCAACCGAGATGTCATTAAAAAGCCATTACTTCGGCATCGAACCCCACTCTAGTGTTATTCTGACTGACTATGACTACACATTAGGCGAAGTAAAAAAAAAATAACATATTCCCATCCCCGTCCGCTTCCTTTTTGGAGGCCGCCTGGAATGTTTTTTCTGAAGAGGCATTCGTGAAATGATAATTTCGCATTTTGTAGAGATAGGTCAACATTTTTAATTAGCTGAATCAGCTTAATGAGCTAATTAGGCCACTTATGAATTAGAAATTTTCAGAAAATAAAGATTTCATCATGCATAACCAAAACTTATATGCTAAAAACCCAAATTCGTCAAAAATTCAGATAGGTCAGATCGTGGTACGATCGACGAATTGAAGGGAATACTACAGATTTGTTTCTACTATAACTTTCACAGGAAAATCACCACGACATAAACACAAGCAAGTAACCACACGAACACAATAACAGGTAAATAACATAGTTGAAGGCCTACTACAGGATTAATATCACCGGAAGAATACCTTACGACATTAGTATAGGAATATTACAACAAACAGGTTGCAATGTGAAATCCATTGCAAGAAAAGACAACATGGAATTACAAACAAATTATAACCACGGAAATGTTCATGTACGGACAATTTCGCCGGAAGATTAACTTGAGGAACTCCTACAGGATTGTTACCACAAGTCTCCACAAAGGCTCTCAAACATCAATAGCTATATGTAAATAGGTAAATTTCACAAAGCACTACGTTGAATACATCCTCAATTTCGTTACAACACATCATGGCCAACGACCAGTTATTCCGCGGTCATAGTCTAGACGATATATAAAAAAAATGTTACCTGAAGAGGCATTCTTGAGTAGAATTTGGTAACATAGCTATATAACCTAATTTTGGAATTGTGAATCCGAATCCGATGTCACGCTTGATTTTTAGCGGAAATATGCCTCATTTGCATAAATCTATAATACCTGTCGTCTAATATAATTTGTTCCCATATTTTTTATTATTACATTTTTTGAAAAGTTTATTTTTGGTGATTCTACACTTCCTAACTTCAATTACATTTTCTAAAGCATATATGTGACTGAATAAATATGAGGACATAATAACAATCCAAAATGGCTACTATTAACGGAAACTACTATATAGGGTATTTAACACGGAACATTTTTTAACCATAACTTTCACAGAAAAATCGCCACACGACACAAACACAAGTAAGTTACAACACGAACACAATTACAGGTAAATTACAAAGCTGAAGAAGGCCTATACTACAGGATTAAAATCACCGGAAGAATACCGTACGAAATTACTGCAGGAATATTACAACAAACAAGTTGCAATGTGAAATCCATTGCAAGAAAAGACAACATGGATTAACAAATTGGTTATAACCACGGAAATGTTCATTTATGGACAGTATCATAGGAATTTAAACTTGAGGAACTCCTACAGGATTTTTTACCCCAAGTCACCAAAACGTTTCTTGATGAGTCGCAAACACCAATAGCATATAGTTATAAATAGGTAAATTTCACAAAGCACTACGTCCAATACATGGTTAATTTCATAACAACATATCATGGTCAACGGACCAGTTATCCGCGGTCATCTAGCTGCTCTATGACAATACCGAACAGCCTCATTCAGGAGCCTTCAGTTTACATTAACCCTAAAAGAGCTGGGGGCGGAATCCGCCCCCCCCCAACTTTTTCCGCGATAGCCTTGAAATTTTTTCTTCGCGACTCGAGCTGTTATGACTTTTTAGCCTCGAGCCTTGCGCATCTTTTGATACCAAAAACATAAAAATCGGATCATGGGTTGCCGCGCAGTGAGCTTTCCCAAATACGCCGTGTACACAGAGCACAATTACCATTCGTACATATGAATAATTAATGAGCCATAGTTCCCAAACCCTTTGACTTATAGTCATGAAGTTTCTTGGCTATGTTCATGATGAGTTGCCCTATGCATGTACCGAGTTTCAAAACTTTTCGTCACTCGATGGCCGAGATCTTAGGCCCCCCCCCCCCCCCCCCGGCTGATAGATGGTCAAAATAACCCGGCCCTTTTAGGGTAAAGACAGTACTGTTTTTGTCAAGGTATGTTTGGTCGTACACGTAGTTCTCAATTAAACTTGAGTCCTGTGCCACGTGACATCCAGTAAAGGTAACTGTTTGACAGTCGACCATGCTACAACTTACAGTTCACACGTCTATAACCAATACTCATTTACATGACAGAATTGAAAAAAAAACATGAAGTGCAGGCATTACTACGTGTATTTGTCATTTTCCCACGAATATATTTTATGATACGATAGAGCTTTCGCATTCTTTTAAGCTTAAGTTAAAAATCATCCCAATTTGTTCAACTTGAAAATAATACATACATGTAGCTTTCATTGAAAATGGTCCTATTTAATATTTTATGAGGGTGTTTTTATTTGCCAACTTGAAATAAAAATTTGGTAAAGTATGCGATTTTGCAAAATTGACAATCAAATGGGTCAGGCTAAATATTTATATTGCGTACAATGTTGCATTCTAGTCACTTGAGTCAAGTCTCAGTCCGAGTACCATGTTTGGGTCCGATTCTGAGTCACAATCGAGTCATTTAACTCTAGTCTGAGTCCCAGTAACGAGACACCTCTTTCAACATGAGATTATAAAATTTGGTATATTCTGTGTTTTGATTGGATACATAAAACCCATCTGACGGGGGACACGACAGTCAAGAACATTAGTATTCATGCACCGTACCAGACTATCGTAAAGTGGTTCATATAATTATTTGACTTACTTAAATTGGCGTGTCTTCGCCGTGGCGATCAAACAGCCATAACTGTGCCTTAGAAATTAGGTGGTTTTTTTTTAACATTCAGACATAGTTTAGAAAGAGGGATCCGATGCTGGATCCGGATTTTTTCCCCAGGAAAATAGGGTCTGTCCTGTGGAATAAACTAACCGACGTATTATGACGAGGGTTATTTTGAGAACATTTTTTGGAACTTTAGAGATAGGTCTATCAGACCGTATAAGTGCACTTTAAGCTTTCTGGGATGGACACAAACATATATGTGTAAATATATTTGCTATTTGAGTTCGTTTAAACATTTATCGGAATAGGCTTTGTCTGCCCTCTACCTTCTGTCTTGGCTGATGCTTCTAGAAGGAGGCGTGGGTTTCTTTTGGATACATTCTCAAGAGATCCATCTCCAACTCTATTGGACTTGCACCTCCCGCAGACAGCCTTGATCAGATGCTGACGGAAGTGGGTGTACATCACGAAATAGATGACGGGATTCACGCAGGAATTGAGACACAGGAGAGGCGTCTCCAGCCCAAGGTGCCACAGGGTTGAATAGTAAGACCCAGGCAAGAGCTCGAAGTTGAACAAGAACCAGGTGACCGAAGTGGGTCCCCAACAGATGACGAAGAAGATAGCTACGACTAGGAAGGTTACAGTTAGCTTCACCTTTGCAGTGTAAAGAGGATCCTTATTCGCTGTGGTGTTGGCGGTGTTATGATGACTGGTCGACGGTGCGGTAGCCACATGCTGCGCCTTCGCCCGAAGCCGCTTGCGAAGAGCCAGAATTGTCTGGCTGTAAGTGATGACAATCAGCAAGAAAGGAATAAAGTACTCCCATGTAAATGCAGCAATTCCGAAGCCTTTTCTGGCGTTAGAGTAGCCTTCAGGCCAGATAGCCACGCAGGATGCTCCATCATTTACATGGAAGAGGAGCATGTTAAGCTGAAAAATAGACGGGAGCAGCCATACAAAGAACATGCTGATCTTAACGCGCTTGACGGAGAACAACTGGCGGTACTTGGCAGCATGACATACCCCCACGTAACGGTCAAAGCAGATGAGCACCAGGCTATAGGTGGAGACATTTGCGAAGCCCCAATACAGCCACCCGCGGAAAAAGCGGCAGTACAACTCGGTCCATGGGGTATAGAGTCGAGTAGCCACCATCACGACTGAGAGTGAGAAATCTATGACGGACTGGTGAAACGTCAGCTTATTGGTGATCGAATTGAATGCTGAACGATACCTGAGCATTACGAAGCAGACCAGACCATTGCCCAGGATACCTGCTAGCCCCGCTATAACCCCGATAATCTGACTTGAACTCAGTCCCGCTCCGTCAGCTGCCGAATTCTGTACCGCGTCGGTTCCATTTTCAGCTCTTGACTCCATGTCAACGTAGTTGGCAAAGATGTCTGTTGCCGCAATTGTGTTATTTGTTTCGCTGCACAAGAGCAAACAAAGAGGGAAAGTGCGGATAAAGGTCTCTGTGTTAAGGTTGACTATACGTGCTTTGTTGCAGCAAAATGGTTTCTGTGAGTGTAAGACAAAAACCATTTGCAAAAGCAATTTCGAGAAAAGTGATTCTTAGATACTTATGACTGGCTTTACATGGAATACGGGCTGTTGTACAGCAAGTGGATACAATGTCAGAAGCTATTGTTTCCAGTGGCATTAGTTAGGTTTTCCCCCAGCTTTTATTATCTTGCTGCAACGAAGACCGCCACCTATTGTCCTATTTACCCCTCCCAGTAGACAAGAGGCATAGAAACCTCTCGCAAGTGTGATAAGAGGGAAATTATCGCTGCGTGCTGTTAATAAAGCTTAAGTCTTAGGGGACATTCAAGAAGCTTGCAGGTCGCCCCCACCGCAAAAAAATTCCCTGTTATAGGCAGTATTTACCTGCATGGGAGGCAATTTCCTTGCTTGGCAATAATAATTTAAAGCAAGCTAATGTACTGGGGTGCATTCTCGCCTCCACCCAGCAAGGAAGCCCCCATCTCTAGCTTTCCTTTGATCACTCTCACTGTGTCTGTGTTCAGACTTAATCGGTTTTCTTAATGGACTTGCAATTAAGTTCAAATGTACCGATAAGGAATGTTTTGCACACAAATTGCTTTTTGGAGTATACTTTGAAGAACTTCAAAGAGAAGACAAAAAAAATCCAAAATGTTTCAAATCAGGAATTGACCGGAGTTGACGCAGTTGCTCGGCAGGCTACTGTTGGTCAATCAGCCCTTGATGTAATTCACTCGAAGAAAACACACAAATCAGTCCGTGTCCCTGGGATAGACCAACAAATTGCCTTTCATTTTGCTAGAATCGGTGAGATGCTTCAAAACCCCCATTTGAATGAAGTGCGTTTTGAGGTGCGTGCCGTTGAATTATTTGGAATTACTTTCAGCGGGTGGGCCGGGGCGGGGTGGAATGGATACCATCTTTGTTTATGTGGGTGCTGTTTCAACCTGACGATCATGGGCACTAACGAACAATACGTCGGCAGCACCACGAACCGACGTATCGCATTTTTTTGTGTTTCGAGAAAAACCGATTTAAAGTTGGTCATTATTTTGTAGGTTCATTCCATATACTCTCTGTGTAAGAATTCAAGCTGTTTCGTTTTTGCTATTAAATTATAGATTGAACTTTGTTGTATGGAATCCGTGTGCATCTGAGTTGCTTTGTTTTTGAGAAATTCAGTTCCAAAGTTATTCGTCACTTCGTGAAACAGATTTTTATCATGTTTATCGTATGTCATACAACGCGCGTAATAGTGGCCGTGTGCCAGATACGGAGATACGTCGGTTCGTGAAACGCTCAATTCCAATTTTTCATGTCAACGCGCCTTTGTGACGTCATAGCACTATGGGAATTAGCGTGTAAAGTGGCGTATCGGGATACGCCACTTCGTGGTGCAGCATTTTTCATTTTTTAGCGATACGCCACACAGTTTAATTAGCGTTCTTAGTTAATTAGAACTCCGATCGGAATAAAACTTTCTGATAATGAGCACTTTGATGAAATAATAACGTTAATGACAAAAACTCAATTTGGCAAAAAATCGGGATACGCCGGCCGGTTCGTGGTGCGATGGCGCTATTCGTGGTGGTACAATAGCCGACATTCGCACAACATTCCAAAAAATTGGCAGGATGGTTAAAGACCCCTTCTTTACTAACACCCCCACTGCTGGCTACGCCACTGATGATGTTCTACAAAAGGACAAGTTTCCCTAGTGATTTTATTTCCACATGTCGCAAAAAGTGAACTAAGGCATTCAAAAGGTGAACCACGACGTTTCAAAAACCGTTAACCGTGGTTATTGGTGGTGGACACAAAGCAATCAAGTTGGCTTTCGTCTTCCGTTCTCTGTATGCTGCGGCCTTTATATAGAGATCAGGGCCCAATTTCTTGGCCCTGCTAACCACAGAATTCCGCTTACGATCAAAATTGTGTGCCAAACCGCGCTAGCAAAAAAAATATGTGCTAACCCTGTAAGCACAGAATCCTTACTTACGCATGCGCAGAAACACAAATTCCTCGCAAACGCGTGAAATACGCTTTCCGTATAGCACGGAATTGTCTGCTACAGTTCGCAGGGATTTTTCGCTAACTGCAAGCAGAGCCAAGAATTTGGGCCCAGTACTTTGGCATCTCGTCTCACGGACTATCTCTGGGCCTTATTTCAAGGCTCTGCTTGCCGTTAGGGAAACATCGTCGCTTTATACTATAGCGGAAAATTCTTTACTAAACGATCAGCGTATTTCACGGGTTAGCAAGGAATTTTGGCTTTAGCAAAATGCGTCTCGTATCCCATACGTAAGGCTTTTGTGCTTACGGGGCTAGCGCAGAATTTCTTTGCTTGCAGGGCCCAATTTCATAGAGCTGCTTAAGCACAAAATTGCTTAAGCACGAAAAAACATTGCTTGGTAAAATTAGGTTACCGGCCAAAACTCCACGTGATGTACATTACTTGTGACTGGTATTTAGCTGTTGTTTACTTAGCATAACAATCGCATGGAGTTTTGGCAGGTAACATGATTTTATTAAGCAAGACGTTTTTGTGCTTAAGCAAATTTTTTGCTTAAGCATGCAGCTCTATGAAATTGGCCCTTGTTATGGCAGAATTCAAGGCCGCTAGCGTAGAAACCGGCGTAACGGAATCGATGAAAAGGAGCCTTGCATGGTAGCTATCCAGAAAGATGTGTGTCCAATAAAACTGAACAGAGTACATATTGTTGGATGCACCTGTCCCATGTGGGTGCACAAATTGATTAGAAGTGTGATACGAACACAGGACAGATCAAGCGCAGAGCACAGCTTTAGTCGACCTCCCCTCACATTGTCAAAAACACTGTCTTCACTACTCCCAGTAGTCAAGTCGCTGGGAAACTTCTGTGCTGAAAGTGGGAAATTACTGCTTGGAGCTGTCAATAAAGTTAAACTCTTTGCGGATATTGAAGAGACTTAAAATTATTATTACTATTTTTTTGGCTGAAGTTTTGTTTTATTCACACTCAGGGTCACCGGGTTTGCAGCGTTACGCGCTAGGCAATTTCCTTTGGTTGGCAATGACAGCACGAAGCCAAGTAATGCTCGTCGTATTCTCGCATTGTCTCAACGGGGGAGCCCCCCTCTCGAGCTTTCATTTTATCCCTCCCACAGTCTTTGTGTTCTGCCCCGATCGAGTTTCTTATTAAACCAGCAATTAAGTTGAATTTAGCTGTAGAAGTTTTTTGGACACAAATTTATGTAAATAAAATTAAGGAAAACACAATTGCCCATTGTTTCACAGCAGGCATTGTAGTTGACTACAGCAGGTTAATTTCGGTCAATCACTCCTTCCTGTGATTCAATCGAAGAAAAAAACCTGATATCAGTTCTTGTCGAACGATCTGACGTCGCAGGGACACACCCACAGATTGAAAACCACATTGAATTTACTTTATTTATTTCTTGTTCTGTCATTTTGTCTCTGAAGAAGGCCTTGCGAAGGCTGAAATATCAGGCCAAAAAAAATGTCTGATTTGTACTTTATTTCACTCAAACTTTGCAGGGGTGTACAGAGTCCTAACTAAATGGATCAATCAAAACTGTGAACAAAAACAAGTTATTCGGAGGTCTACTCTAAACGCATCGTATTTTTGCTGAAACAGTGCGGTGTTGTACCGTGTAGTTTCAATGGCCCACCTTTCAGGGGACTTTGACAAACTCTCTCGAAACAAAATTTGAGAAGTTCATCAAACGAAACGTTTAAGTCGGCACCAGGCAGCAAGTGATACCCTTATACAAGATATGTTTGCGGTAGCACCATGTGAATAAATCTCTTTTGTGAGTATGTGTGGTTCTGAAAAGAACCGGAGGGACTCAACGTTTCGAACAGTATGCTCTGCCCGTCGTCAGGATACCATTGGCCCCTAAGTTGTGTTATCAATTCGTCTTTCGTTCTTATTACAATTTTGATAAAGGGATATATTGTAACGTCTCTCTTAGGTGAGAGACATTATCAATAAAGAGTCAGATAAGATACAATATCTTACACACACACTAGTCTCTACTTTATTCAGGAATAATTACATCTCAGCTCAATAGAGTACGGAAGCTTGAATTGCCTTCCGCGATACTGCGTTACCGCGATAATTTATCACAGAAATCCGGAAATCAAAGATAATTCCTTCCGCGATACCGCGTTACTGCGATAATGTATCACACAAATCCAGAAATCAAAGATAAATCATTCAACGATACCGCGTTACTGCGATAATTTATCACAGAAATCCAGAAATCAGAGATAATTCCTTCCGCGATACCGCGTTACTGTGATAATTTATCACAGAAATCCAGAAATCAAAGATACGTATTCCTCGATACCGCGTTACTGTGATAATTTATCACAGAAATCCAGAAATCAAAGATAAATCATTCAACGATACCGCGTTACTGCGATAATTTATCACAGAAATCTAGAAATCAGAGATACGTATTCCGCGATACCGCGTTGCTGTGATAATTTATCACAGAATCCAGAAATCAAAGATACGTATTCCTCGATACCGCGTTACTGTGATAATTTATCACAGAAATCCAGAAATCAAAGATAAATCATTCAACGATACCGCGTTACTGCGATAATTTATCACAGAAATCCAGAAATCAGAGATAATTCCTTCCGCGATACCGCGTTACTGTGATAATTTATCACATAAATCCAGAAATCAAAGATACCTGTTCCGCGATACCGCGTTACAGTGATAATTTATCACAGAAATCCTGATTTCAGAGATAATTCCTTCCGCGATACCGCGTTACTGCGATAATTTATCAGAGAAATCCAGAAATCAGAGATAATTCCTTCCGCGATATCGCGTTACTGTGATTATTTATTTGTGTTTAGTAGGAAGGGGCATAATCATACATGTCGCCACTACATTTTAAGTTAAATGGAATGGAGTTTGGCCGCCACCATGCATTTAAGTTTTTATCAGACTTGTGTTTTCTTAAAAAGAAGTGGTTTTCTGGCTAAGAAAATAGCAAGGAAGAACCGGTTTTGTGCAAGCAAAATTCAGGGAATAATCTGTTGATATTAATAAC